AATAATATTTCCTCCCCAGGCAGCATATAAAATTATCCCCCCAGGCAGCAAAAAAAACCCCCCCCACAGCAATAATATTCTCTCCCCAGGCAGCAATAATAATACTCCCCGCTGCAATAATATTCTCTCCCCAGGCAGCAATAATAATACTCCCTGCAGCAATATTTTCTCCCCAGGCAGCAATAATAATTCCCCCCTTGCAATAATATTCTCTCCCCACGCAGCAATAATAATACTCCCCGCAGCAATAATATTCTCTCCCCAGGCAGCAATAATAATCCCCCCCACAGCAATAATATTCCCTCCCCAGGCAGCAATAATAATCTCTCCCGGGGTTTGGAATAGATCGCAGCTCCCGATATTACTCGCCGGCCAGAAGTGGTGAAGTAGTCCCCTCTCCCCCGGTCATTCTTGATGAAACCACTGGATGCAGAATAGGCTGCAGGGACCAGTCACACAGTGTAGAGGAAGCCTCCTGAAGCAAGGAAAATGGTATTACAGCTTGTCCCTTTACCCTTAGATTTAGGGTCACCATACACGTTACAATGTGACCATACAATCTTTGTACAATCAATTTTAGATTTACCAAATCCATGTAGTATTAGGACCTAACTAATCCACCCAATCAATCTGTATCCACTCAGACAGGTCCTTGCACTACATAATTGTTGGTAGATCTAAAGGAGATTGCTCAATCAGATTGTAACGTGTGTGTGTGTGTGTGGTGAGCTTTAAAAGCTGAGTTGACCTTTTAGACCATGATACATGTTACCCCCATATACAGGAAGTCACATGAAACATGATCACATCGCTGCCCCCCACTTACGTGAATCATGCGGTTCTTCTCCCAACAGGCTGCTGCTACACAGCCTCATTATACATTCACAGATCCTTTGACAGGATGTGAATGGAGAAACTACAAGTCCCATCAGGCACTACAGCAGTGGGACTTGTAGTTCTCAATGGGATACAAGTACAGTGACTTCAGTCCACTTATAGTCCATTCACTCTCTCCCATCCATGTTACTGAATGTCTGTACCTTGGTATGGACAGGGACGGGAGGAAGAGTCTGCACTCTGCTCTGGAAGCAGGCTGTATGAGAACGATGATGCAGTTTTGGTCTGGGCTTGGTGTATAACCATTCAAAATTCTAAACCGCCTCCCTCTCCTACTTTTTTCATTGAAAATGTTTATTATTGTTTTGGAAGAAAGATAAACAAAATATAAAAAGTCAGGCAAAGTACAGCAATACAGAAAGTAAAGACAATAAAATCAAATCCACCCAACATGGGTTACATCTCAGACAGATCTGGTGGTTGTACAAAGTGTTGATAGAACAGGTGTCACATCCCCAATGGGGACCCATGCTATATTATGACCTTTATAAATAGGAAAACAAAAACTACCCGTGGGCCTCCAATTACGTGGTGCCTTTCCTCCTCAGTGTAGGACATTTCTCGTCATTATCATCCACTCCGTAAGCTTGAAGATATCTAGTGTCTCGGTGCCCTCAGTGTCCCCTTCTCCCACCAGGCTTGCCACCTTATCGCTGGGTCATTGGGCATATCTATGTGTGGCTCCACATTCACCATTTATGAGCAGTTCTATCGCTGTTCGGTGAAATCAGATGTGTTGTTCTGATCCATGACTAGGGTCACCCCCTGTTGGGGGCCCTACTGCTCCCCGCTTCCCTCTCCTACTGACCCAATCAGTTCTGGGGAGGTACATTTCCCAGCTACATGTCACAAAGGTGCGGGAAATGTCCTCGCTGCAACTGCTGATTGGAGGGAAGGAGGGGGTGACGGTCACAGTTTTGAATGGGCTTGGGTGAACTTAGAGGATACTTTAAGAAAACTGGAGCAAGCAAAATCTGGAGCAAGAGCCCGTGGCAACCAATCAGCTTCTCTCTTCAGTTTAGCTTTGAAAAAGAAGCTGATAGGTTGCTCTGGGCAACTGCTCCAAATTCTATCTGCTCCAGTTTTTACAAAGTCCTCCTAGTGTTTTATTTTTTTCAGGATATAACACTGCCAATTTACACACTATGCATTCATACCAATCTTTGCCCTCAGGGCTAGTTCACACCAGAACTGCATGAGTCCGCGCAGCTGCAATGTGATGCATTTTGTCGCGATTAACAAGGTTTACATGTGTTTTTGATGCAGCTAAAATAGGGCAAGCAGTATTTTTTCTGACTGCATCGGTGTGCACAGAGCACCAGGAATCCCATAACCAGGATTCAAACCGGTGACCCCAGTGCTGCAAGCCCTAACCCCTAAGCCACTGTACTGCATACGTGTGCTGCCTGGGCTCTCACCAAGCCCAGCCTCACCTTTGGTCTGCAGGAGCCAGCACATTGTAGCCACAATCCTCTGATCATGGTTGCAATGCTTTACTGGCTCCAATGAAAAAATATAACTGCATTTTTTCTTTTATGACTATATTTACTTTAAGAGGAAGACTTTACCCCTTGTAGTGTGCAAAGTTGCCCACCTTAAGGGTAGCAGAATAATAATCTTTGCCCTCAAGGCTAGTTCACACCAGAACTGCATGAGTCTGCGCAGCTGCAATGTAATGCATTTTGTCGCGATTGACGAGGTTTACGTGTGTTTTTGATGCAGCTAAAATAGGGCAAGCAGTATTTTTTCTGACTGCATCGGTGTGAACAGAGCACCAGAAATCCCATAGGAAAGCATTGAACATCTGCCAAACTGAATGGACTGCATCTGGTGTGAACTAGCCCCTAAGGAACATACAATCTGAGATCCCTGTCTCACATACGGTGCCCACAGACAGGAGCCAATTAACCTTCCAGCATGTCTTTTGAGGGTAGGAGGAAACCCATGCAAGCCCAAAGAGAACATGCAAATTGTGTCCTAGCCAGGATCCAAACCTGTCAGAAGCCCTAACCCCTAAGCCACTGTACTGCATACATGTGCTGCCTGGGCTCTCACCAAGCCCAGCCTCACCTTTGGTCTGCAGGAGCCAGCACATTGTAGCCACAATCCTCTGATCATGGTTGCAATGCTTTACTGGCTCCAATGAAACAAATATGACTGCATTTTTTTCTTTTATGACTATATTTACTTTAGAGGTGGACTTTACCTCTAACCTTTATTTACCCCTTGCAGTGTGCAAATGTTGCCCACCTAAAGGGTAGTTTATTTTGTTCTGCTGTGTCCTCTATACACAGACACAATGAGAACACGCTGCTCCATTGCTGGGTGAACATGTGAAATACACACACACACACACACACACACACACACAGGCTCGGAGTCTTGAGGGAGAGGATTCCCCCATCCAAGTGTCAGCATTTTCCGCCTCTTCCTGGATAGTACAAAGATCAGACACGGCGTACAGTAGGCAGGGAGTCCTCTCTATGTCATGTATGTGTGTGTGTTGGGGGGGAGGCCGCTTCTCAGAGGGTGTGATCTGACTGGAGTTTCTCCAGCTCTGTGAGTCAAACCTGCTAATCTCCTCTCAGCCTCTCACCAAACATGCAGACACTATTGTTACGCTGCTAAAGTTTCACTTCCTGGCTCAGCTGGGTTCTTTTTTTTTTGCATTAATACTTTTATTCGCTGCCCCCTTGTTTCTGCCCGTGTTTGGTCTTTTTATCTTTCTTTTGTTGTTTTGTTGCCACATCCTGTGTGCAGGGAGAGAGAAGAAGACGGAGAAGAGTTGCAGAGAAGGGAGGCCGGGGGTGCTGAGCGGCCAGGTAAGCGGGGTGGACGGGGTGACAGAATTGTTGTGGCCTAAAATGATACATTTGTGCCCTGTGACAGATGGGGCGTCGCTGAGTTCTCCCGGCAGAGCAGTTGTGTCTAATAATTGTGCCCTCTTTGCAGTCGTTTAGTTTTATATGGCCATTCATAAGACTGGTCCTGTCACTTGAATGGCAGCATGTCAATCCTTGCTGTTGATTTCTTTCACGATGTGTATGCTGATGGATTTGTAATTGCACGCACACACACACACACACATAGGGAGGGATGTAGGTTTATTTAAAGCTGAAGTAAAACAAAATGAGCTGAATTCAAATAAAAAAAGACCCCTGCAATGCATTGCAAGGGTTAACTGCTCGATAAATGCACCCACACTCTTACATGAAAAATGCGCGTTTATTAATTGTTTTGCATCCGTCCTGCAGAGCATTGCAACAGCCATGGGTGCATCACGGGGTGCAATGCACCGGCTCCTGCAGACTCTTCATCTAGCCCCCAAGGTCTGTACAGTCCTACCATTATAGGGCTCCAGGATGTAATCGATGGACTACAAGTGAGGTGACGTAGGTGAGATCCCTCTGCCGCCGCGGGCGGATTGAAGTTGTAGTCTGCGCTGGCCGCTTTCTCCAGTGTAGCCCCAACGCTAGACAAGACGATTTGGCTTGTTGCGAATGGGGGATAGTTCACAGCACTGCGTTTTGGTGGTGTGCCCTGAAAAAAGCACTGCATGCAGTACTTTTTTCTTCTTCACTGCAGCGAGGTGCGATGCGCTACAACTGCATTGCACCAAAATGAGCCCATAGAACTTATTGAATGGCATTTCAATAAAGTTCTAGCAAAGAAAAGGTGAATTGTGATGCACATCATGCATTCATAGGGATCTGTGAATGGATGATGTGGCTGTTTGGGCGGAGCCATATGCATCTGCTTCAGATTCCCGCGAGAAGCTGCACTACAATGTACCAGTGCTGGTGTGCATTCCCAGACACCATGCTGATGTGGTTATCCGCGCTGTTTACCTTTTTGTTTTTTGGTGAGAACTTTATTGAAATGTCACAAGTGACGTTTCATTAAAGAAGAACTCCGGGCACATTTTTATTAACCCTTGCAGTGAGGCTACCCCCACACTGCAAGGGTTAACTGCTCGTTTTGGTCTAGGAAGGAAAATAAAATAAGTTATACTCACCCCATTCTTGGAGCCGGCTTGTTCTTAGATTGGACCCTGGAGCCTCTCTCCCCTCTACGCTGCATCTATCTAAGGCCTGTGAGTCATCACATTGTTTACAAAGTGTATAGGACATGAGGGCGCTGAGAGGCATACCATCACTGCAGTGCAGAAGGAGACAGGCAGGAGGAAGCGCTGTCACAGCCAGCCAGCTCAGAGGATTGGGTGAGTATAATTTTGTTATTTCGCTCCCTAGACCAAAACAAGCACTTAACCCTTGCAGTGTGGGGGTAGCCCCACTGCAAGGGTTAATAAAAATAACGCCTAGAGTTCTACTTTAAAAGAGAACTATGGGGTAAGTGTTTTTCCCCATAGTTCTCTTTAGGGTCACGGGAGGACATATACTAGCGTCCTCCCGTAACCCAAAGCTCAACATATCGCGAGCTACAGCTCGCGATATACTGAGAACGTCGCAGCCGGGACGGATCCCGACAATGCTGTCGAGATCCACCCAGCTGCGTGAGTGACAGCTGGCTCTGCCTGTCTAGAGGCAGAGCCAGCTGTACCCGCCCCCTCCCCCGTCCGTTCCTCCAGTCAGCTCTGGAGGATCGGAGGAGGGAAATTCCTGCGGGGAGCAATGACTGACAGTCACTGCTCTCTGCAGGGAGATGATCGAGAAGTGAGCGAGCAGAATTAAATAGCAAGCTCTGTTGTCCTTGAACAAAGAAGAAAAGACTCACTGATATCTGCATGAGAACAATGATGTATTTAAAGCTATAGTTTATTCCTGCTTATACTTTGCATTCCCTCATATGTTATAACATTTCCGGTTTTCATTACATACCATATGTGATGTAATCAATGGGTCTCTGTCCTTCTCTATGCAATACAGGCAGATCATTGCTGGTGGGAGGGGCCAGCAGGGTGCTGTACAGTAAACTCCCAGTTATCCGACACCTACAGGGATTGGTAGATGCTGGATAACTGTAGTTTTTGGTTGCTTGAGAGTTAATAGTAACTTTCAAGCAACCCCCATCCATCCCCCCCGACCGCGCAGGACCTCACCACAACGCCCCTCTTTCCAACCCCCTCATTTGCTGGCTAGATTCTGCAGGTGAGTGGAAAAAGCGGGCAGTAGGTGGGAGCAATAGCCAGACTGCTATTGGCTATTTCAAATTGCAATAGCCAATAGCAGGGTGCTATTGCAGCTGCCCACTGAGCAGAGGAGCGGACCTAAGAGAGAAAGTTCTCTCTCAGATCTGCTCCTCTGCTCAGTGGACAGGTGAGTTGTGGTATAATATACGCCTGCATCCTTTTATTACATCCGATTATATACAATAAAATGCTCGGCATTTCAGGGTGCAATAGTGTTGCATAAAGTGTAATATACATAAAGTGTAGACGGAAAAAAAGCAAGCACCGCGATCGCACTGTGCGATTTAACCCGGAGTTGTTAGAATAGAGCAAAATCGAATGTTGTTAGTGTCATTTCTCTTCTGGTCAAGTGTTCTTCAATAGTTTCATTAAGGGCTTATTCACAACGAAAGAGTGTGCGTTCCAGAGCGGTAGCTGCTGAAACGCACCGCGATCGCTGAGAAACTTCCCCCCGCGTTTTGGCGTGGGAGGGGGCGTGGCAGTGCATTGAATGCAATAGGGCAAGCCCTATTTTTTGCATTTGCAGTGGAACAAAACGCTGGCAAAGTTTTTCCAGGCGTCTGATCACACTGCGGGCGGGGGCGTGAAGCGGTGCCATTGAATACAATGCACCACCACGCCCCCTCCCGCCCCAAAACGCAAGGGGAAGTTTCTCAGCGATCGCGGTGCGTTCCAGCAGCTACCGCTCTGGAGCACACACGCTTTCGGTGTGAATAAGGCCTCATACAGAACAGAGTGAATGGGGACGATAGCGCATAATGACCTCCAGATGGAGCTGAGGATCATAGGAAATAAATACATGTTAGGAATGAGATACAATTCAAGAAAATGCTGGAGGAAAAGATCATGTAAATGTAACCATTGCTATCTCTGTCTTATCAATAGTTACATTTATAGTATATACAGGGACTTCTGCGCTCGATTAATCGAAGAAAACTGGGCGTTTCTCCTTACAGCTGCTCACTTAAATTGGCTGCATGAGCCTGCATTAATATCATTCAAACATGTGAAGCGGCGCTATCACCCAACAAGTAAACAAATATGTGCAAATAACAAATATTGTAGTGAACAATACTATTGTGAGAGAAAAGAAAAAATAAAAAAAAATGTGTATATATAATATTTTTCACATATTTTCCAAATGACTCCAAATGACTAATAAAGTAGCAAACGTCCTGTGTCAGTGTGTAAAACACATAATTGGAAAAAAGTGTCCAAAGAAAAAGTGTTTTATTCTTTCTTTGTGCGTCACTCTGCCCACTCTTGTCATTTCTTGTGTGTATTTTTTGCTGAAGTGCTCATAAAAAAACCACACCAGTGTTCTTATAAATAAGCCTCTCCCCTCCGTGTTCAGACCCTTGGGTCTCAAAGCACTTCTTATAGGGTAAAACTCCTTCCTCACATTATTTGAAGCTGTCATCTACCTTCCTTCAGATGAGACCAATCCTGATCTTAACGTTTTTCTCCTCTACCGACAGCCCAACTTCATCTCAAAAAGATCTCTTAAAGACAGAAGTGGAAATCATAGCGCACCCCGTATCCATAAAAAGATTTTATTAAGAAAAATACACTCACATAAAAACGAATAAAATCGCGTATCAGATTCACATTCCTGGATGTCAGATCTGTCCTCCTCTTTTCTCCAGGCGTTCTGACGTCACTGACTCAGCTTCTACGCATTACGTCTAATTGACTTCATCAGGAAGCTAGAGTCAGTGAGTTCATCAAGCTCATATATACAAGCACTCTATTAACCCTTACTATGATAACTATCTTAAACCATTGAAATCTATGATCTTCACGTTCATACAATTCAGTTACATTTATATGTTCATCACCTCCAGCGGTCTCTTGAATTGTATCTCATTACTAACGTATTTGTTTCCCTATGATCCTCAGCTTCATCCAGTGAGCATAATGCGGTATTTTCCCCTATGTACTTTGTTCTGTATAAATATACTTATTGAAGAACATTCCACCAGGAGAGAAATCACACTGAGAACATTTGTTTTTGCCCCATTCTCACAACAGCTTACTAACTCGCACAGAACAAATTTACATGCAGTTTCGCTGGACAGATAAGCTATGTACATTTTTATACATAGACACTATAGTACATATTGTGCAAAAGGGCTCAGTTGTGAATCTGATTTTCCTTTGTAGGTTATGAGCATAAAACCTAATTTTCCTTCTGCGACAGAATGTGCAATACTAAATAAATTAAACATTTCCAACCCAGATGATTGCCTTTTAATGGACTGTGGTTGGTACCACTTAGAAACATGTTGAAATCACTATTATCAGATGATGTAATGCAAGTCAGTATCTAAATGCTTCCTCACGCCTTATGTTTACAGGGAAGGGGGGGGAGGCGCAACCCAAATAAAATGGGAATGTGGTATGCAAAAGACGAAGCTATGGTCTACATAAATTGTCGTGCACTTCAAAGCTGAGTGATTGTGTGTATTAAGCAGTTCAGTTTAATATGGTTTTTTTTTCCAACGAGCACCAGAAAGCAGTTTTTTGCATGGTATTTGCTCTAATGTGAGTGCAAGAGATCCCATGCAGGTAGAGAACCCCGAAAAGAGAAGTATGGCCATACCTTTCTTTTAATATACTTCTCTTTTCAATCACAGGAGTACATTTACTAATGTCCTCCTGTGACCGACGGTC